TTGATAAAGATTTTATGATTTAAATATTTATAAACTGTCACATCGTAGGGTAGATTCAGTGTCTTTCATTTTGAAAATTCTTTTATTTTGTGTTAGTAAACGAGATTTACTGTTATTAAAGTTAATTAAGTAACAAAATCTTAGAATTATAATATTTTTTTATAGATATTTAGAATTAAACAGTGTGGGACCCACAGACAATGCAACAGTATTGTTACGTTTAGTGTTTAATAAAAAATACACCTTTTATTAGCTTTGTTATGTATCTACGTTTGTTTGAAAATGCAAAATTTTGTAGAATTTTGTGTTGCGGAGAAATAACATCCGAACAGTAAGTATTCTAGTTAACGATTAACGGCATGTGAGTTGATAAACGTTGAAAGACGGTTGATTTGTTTGCTGCCGGTTGATATTGAATCTTGTCACGACATATAAGAAACAAGAATTTCTGTAGCGGAATCACATGTATTTTTTTTGCTTTTATGGTATTTCTCATGTTGGTTTGGTTCGGCATTGGCAGTGAAAGAAAAATTTAGGATTCTACAGCCGGTAAGTATTTTGCTTAGGAAAATAAAAAGACTAATTTAAAAAAAAACGCGATAACTATGTTTCGAATCCCACCTTTAATTTTTATAAGAAATCTTTTTGTTACCTTTCTTATTTGGTTAGACAAAAGTTACAAATTATACGGCAGATACGGTACGGATAAAATTGACTTTATTGTGTATTATTAGATTTAATTTGCATTTTTTTCTTGAGCATCCATCAGTATATACCGAACAGACAGTTAAACACACCGATAAAGTTGCAGAACAAGGCGTTATTTGCCGGTCATTAGCTGCGATTCAAGTTAGATAGTTAAAAGAACGGCCTCATGATGGCGGCCATTGAAGTTTGCTTTCAAAGGGGAAGTCGCGCGGTTTCTGCTAATATTTGTACTCATAAGTTGACAATCGCGTACAATAACAAGACATGCGCCATTTGCAGTCCTCCAAAGCGTCACGTGTGAACGTCGATCGCAATGCAATCGTTTCGAAACGGACGGACAGGACATACTATATGTATCGTGGGAACTGGGAAATCATGGAAATGGCGATGCCATAACAACGCAAATGACAGGTTGTGAATTGTATGGGAGTCGCCATGTTGGGTTGCATCGGACCACAGACAACGGTCTAGACTCTTTGTAAGGAAATTACAGCGTGCAACACCCGCCATCAAAGCTCGTACGAATGCGTTACGCAATAATTAAAACTTCCCCGCTGATAGATACGGCTCCATAAGGTTTAGATTTTGTGCTAATAGTGAGAAAAAAACTTTTGAAATTATAAAAAAAGAATACTATCTTCGGGCACCTACGAGTTAGATTGAGGATTTAAGCAACACTTTTTCTTTGAAATTAGTTTAAGTAGTTTGAAGTCAAATTGTTACGGAGTGGTCTTTCCATATTGAATATTGTAAATGTATTGCTTAAAAAGAATAACATGAGATAAGCCTCATAGGAAGGTAAAAAAAATAGGTAAGCTAATTATTTAAATATACGATCACATTTTTTTTTGTTTTCTCCGATAATAGACGCATAGATCATAGAGAAGGAAGGTTTCCCACGGCGGCGGTTACATTACGGCCGATTATCGGTAGGTGGCGTGACCGTCATTGCCTGTTATTATGTTGGACGGAACTGTAAGTATGTGGTACGAAGTAGCACTTTCTACAAGCTTACGGACTTCTGAACGAAAAGTTGACAATACAAAAAATGGTGAGAAACTATTAGAAAAAGATTAAAAAAAATACTTATTGATTTGTTTTCCAGAATGACTATTAAAAACTCGTCTATTGTCTCATTTAATCCACATTCGTTCCAAGAAATCTAGATTTGTATTCTTGTAACCAACAAAACTTTCATTACGCCGAAAGCGGTTATTTCGTACACGAAAAAGACAGCGACAACATAGCATAGACAATGCAAAGTCATAGCGCAAACATCCATTTGCACTGGGAGAATCGCAATCGGCGAAACATGCATAATTTGCCGCTGGAAATAAGAAGAACGCTTTGGTATTATCTGAAATTCAATCTATTTGAGCTCATCCCTATCGATGGGGACAGGGGCTAATGCGCGTCCGCCATTGTCTTTCGCAGATTTATACTTTGTCCAGCATTGTCATTAGAGTGTACGCCGCTATACAATGAGTTTGCTTTTTTAATTTCTTCCGAATTCTCTGTCTGCGCCCGTATTACGTGTGCGGAGTTTGTACGTGGCTATGTGTTTGCGTTTGCATCGGCCGGCGCAGCGGAAGGCAACGTGTTCCTTTTTCAAATTTTTTTTTTATTGTTTTCTTAATAGTTTTCTCGCGAGCGGGATCTTATTTTTGAATCTCTATTAAGAACTCATTTCTAGAATTACTAAATTGATTTTAAAATAACTTTTTTCTGTCCGAGACAAAGTGATAAAAGCATAGTTCTTTTGTTTTTACTCTAGTTTTTGAGTGTTAAAATGTATCCATAGACAATGGCATACATAATCGGAGTCACACTTGGCTCGCTCATTGTGTGACCGGCTAGATGCGTGTCCGCTTACTTTTCCATTGTTCTCAACACTCTTGCCGGTTTGTTTGGACGCTGCTTCTGCGGCAATGGCTTCCGTCCCAATAAATATTATGCGGGAAAATTCGTCGCATTGAAAAAAGGAAATTCACGATATTGCTGCGTTCCAGCAATCCCACTCGGATACTATTGTGGAACGTAAACAAAGATTTATGCTCTATTTCACTAAAGTAAACATGAAACGGGTTTACGTTGCGACTTTACGAAACGAATGCCAATTATACTCGTACACTTACGGTCGAATGTTAAAATATAATTTGGAATAAAAATTAAAATTGTGAACATTGTTCAGGGGAGCACGTATTAAAACGATAAATTGGAGTTATAGAACGGGACTGGGAGGTGCGCTCGCTTGACCATGTCCCCGCGACATCTCACCCTCTACCCCCCCAACTATCGCCTTACGTAACGTAAAGAGGGGGGGACACTGATCTTGCCGCGATCCGCTACCCGCTCCAATGGAATAAGGAAAGGTCTAGGACATAGACAAGGATGGGCGGAGGTATATTCGGAGGGAGAAACAAAAAAATACAACAAAAGTAATAATATAAAAGAGCGGCGCTAAATTCAAGTTTTTGAATATGGAACATTCCATTCACCACTCACTTTAACATCCAAATAGGAATCGAGCATAAACATCGCGATAGTGTTCTTAAATAAGTGGCGATTGAAATGCCAAATTGAAAGGCGATTAAATCGAATCATCGAACGTTTGAGCTACGGAACGTGCAATTTGTGAAGCGTTAAAAACAATCGCTCGATATCTTTTGTTTGCAACTTAATGGCCCCAAAGTAAACGTCTCTAATAGCTATCTCTGCATTCTTCTTGTGATTGATGAGGCCTATTGTCAGGTAGACTGGCAGCACTGATAACGGGTAACGTGCCAAACCGTTCGGAAGATTGAGCCAAAGGGGCGCGATTGATGGATCTTTGGGTACCTCAGACATGCGGTGTTATGACCTTCTGTTTCGAATCAAATTTTGATAGCGGCGGAATTTTGGAATCTCAAGACGCATTCGAATTTCATATTGATATTCAAAGGATTTCGAACCAGGATTCAAATACATGAATTAATCGAGGAGCGTCGTTGTAATTTTGAATTCGGAATAAGATGTGGAAAATATTTTTTTCTGCAATAAAAGGTTGTCACATATCAGAAAACGGTGTCATGCAATAATATATCAAAATCCTGGTTGGAAATAAATGAAAAAATAGAGAAAAATAAGTAATCATCAGGGTGCACTAACATGAAGTACCTTTCTTGGGTATGAGTGACTTGAGTAGCATGACGGCGGCCTCGTCGCACGCCCACGCGTGCATCTTGCGGTACGAGTCGCGCCCCTTCTCCGTCAGCTTGTCCCACGGCTTCGGCTTCGACAGCAGCTCAGACACCGTCCCCTGGGAGAGGCCCAGGACGTACTTGGCGAACAGACGCTGCCCGATGTTGTGCACCGAGAGCAGTTCCCTCACTCGCCTACTTATGTGCAAGGTGTCCAGATTGGTGTTCGCGTATTTGTCCATGTTGTATCTGAGCATCTCTTGGAGGCGCGCCTCCATCGGGTCTCCCTTCGGGATGAGGGAGTCGCCCAGGCGGCCGACCAGGGCTCCGGGGGGTAGAGGGCCCATGTCCTCAGCGAACCGGTAGGGGCGGTGGTCGTCGAAGCGGAAGGGGCTCGGCGGCGGCGGCGGCAGCGAGCTGGGGCCATTGTTGTTGTGGTGCGTCGTGTTGTTGTTGAGGGGGGGCGGCGTGCTGTCCCACTCCTCGCCACCTGCGGTCACAGCACGGTTACACGGGAACACGAGGACGAGGGGAGGCGGGCCCGAGGAGGGGAGGGCGGGGGCGGGGGGGGGGGGGGGGTCGCGTCACGCACGCTCGCGAGCGTCGCAATCTCTCCGCGTAGGTACGAATGTTAAGTGCGCACGCGGCGTCTCTCATGTTTGCATGCTCCGAATTACAAATCCTACACACTCATAAGCATGGGACGATTACGCGCGTCCGTGAGCGGCATGGCGGAGGTGGTGGGAACTGGAATTCCTCGTACTCCGCGTCGTTTCTATAGAAAAGTGAAGCGAACACGTAAACTAGCTACGGACATACACATTTTCGACATCGAGCGTGCTTTAGCCGGTATAGTTAGATATATCGACACAATGACGGATCATCGGTTAATGAGAACTGTCGGCCTCTTTGTACGAAGCGTCAATTCAAACCGATCGAAAGCGGACTTGGCTGAAGGGATTGATGCGTAACGGCTAATTTTTAAATTTCGTAGTAATGTTTGTTTCGTTAATTAAATAAAGAACGATTTTTGAAATTCAAAAATGGAATAGAACGTTTCGTTTTTGCTCTGGCTTCAGTCAAGTGGTATCTGATTAGGTGTGTGTTACTCACCGGTATCTCTTCGCTCGGCGCTGCGCTCGCGCTCCACAGAGCTGCGCTCGTCGCGGAGCGCTTGCGCGGCGAGCGGTGAGCGCAGCGGCTCTGGTTTGCGCTCGAGCGAGCGCTCGCCCCCGCTCAAGTCGAGCGACCTGAGCATACTGGAACAATTGAAGTTCGAATTAGTCTCAGAAGTAAGTCAACATTACATATTTTCCTATGTCCAAAATAATGAAAGTATCAAAAGCCATGCAAAGATAAAGTTACGGGGGTCGAGTTATAGACGATTGTACTGAAATTGATGTCTAAATTGTAAACTCTCTTACGTATAACTTATTCTTAGACGGCGTTGTTTCATCCATAGTTAAATTTGAATATAACTAACTAGTTAATGGTGTAGATTCTGGCGTGATTCGCTAAACTTAAAACTAAATTTAACATCAATCTCTCCTTTTCATTCCGTATAGAGAATGATAAGGATACACTGAAGGCTGCGAAACGTCAATCTATATATATAAAATTCAAAGGTGCCTGACTGACTGACATAGCGATCTATCAACGCACAGCCCAAACCACTGGACGGATCGGGCTGAAATTTGGCATGCAGGTAGATGTTATGACGTAGGCATCCGCTAAGAAAGGATTTTGATCAATTCTACCCCCAAGGGGATAAAATAGGGAATGAAAGTTTGTATGAAACTTTGTCAATTTTAAACCCATCGGACTGAGACTGCATGCAGGTATAAGAAGAATCATTGATGAATGTCATTGTGTATAATACAATCCTGAGAACAAAAACTATGGTCTACACTTTAACTCCACACCGAAGCGAAGCGAGGGCGGGCCACTAGTAAATAAATAAAGTTCGTGCATTAACCCGTTAAAACTAGTTTTATTTTAACAATAGGTTATTTTTTCCTCCAGTTCTTTAACTATAAATGAAATAACGCGACCTTAATTGACTGTAATCTGAAAATAAAACATGCTATCTTACATACAATTTGAAATCAGTGTTTATACTTAAAATTGCTACTCAACTCTTCGTTTATCAGGTAGATTGTCAAAAAGTGTTGGACACGTATTTTTTCTTTTTTCACATAATATAAACATTGCAGAGATATATTGATTTGAAAAGTCGCATGACGTCACGTTTGAGTACACTTATAAGTGAAAAAACACTCAAAAGTGACGTCACGAGCCCCTACTCCCAAACTTTGACGCGCTATAACTTTGTCATTTTTTGGTTGATTGCCCAAAGAAAAAATACGTGTCCATTATTTTTTGGTCATCTAACTGACGGACTAAATAGAATTTCGTTTACTGTACCCCCTCATCACCTCTATTACTAATCAAAATATGAAAATACCCATTTTTACATGTAAAATCTGCCGCACACATTAATTAATAATATGGAATGCTTTATCGGTCCTATAACTCAATTACCATAACTTCTATCTCAATCCCATAAAACGTAAAGAAAGGTACAATATAATCAGAAGGGCCCTATACCTTAATAAATTGAGCGAAAGTGAATTGATTAAAACCATTCCAGGTGAATTAATTAAGTATTTTAATTAATAGGATATGCCGTGCCCTTATTGGCAATATTCCTTTCATAAATTTATTGAGAAGACCCTTTGAGGTATCTTGCTGGCTATTAGAGATAAGGGACGCCTGGCCTCTGATAATGATGCTGCGAGACACATCAGTATCCTTAATGCGTAGATTCTGTAGGGATTTGTAAAGATTAAATTATACTAGAAAAAAATCCACGCGGACCAGGTAGGTATTGATTTTTTTTTCATCTAGCAGTTAAATGCTTAAAAACTAGAAAAATATATCTCTAATTGCTACTTCTTCCTTCAAATGTTTAATACTTGTGAAGGTATTCATTTGACATGGTGGTTACCTACAATGGGAAGAAATGGCGCTGCCTTGCAGCTTAAGAAACGCTAGAAAGAATTCAACACGGCTAGCAAGGCCGCGGTAGCGTAATGGTCAGTGCATTCACCCGGATAGCGAAGGGTACGGGTTCGTGTCCCGTCAGCTGCCTGGTCAGCGTGGATTTTTTTCTAGTATAATTTTTCTTCTAAAAATTTGACTTTTAGTACAAATTATATCTATTACTTCTATTATTATTTTATATCAAATTTGATAATAATAAATTTTATAGATATCAAAAGTATACTCAGGAAGATAATAGGTATTATTACACCTAATAGTTTTACAATAAATTTTAATTACCTTTATAACAATGTATTACAGATTGTATTGAAACAAAATCCTCGTAACAATCAACCCTAATTTCGCTCTTATTATTAGCAGTTCGATAAATCCAACAACTAATCTGTAAGCAAATAATTTGTTCCTAACAATCACTAACTACAACACAATCTGTGTCGGCCGACAAATCGCTCGACATATCGGGCGCAGCATCGATTCGACCCAAGATTTTCACACCTCCACAATAGTTGCACCTTAATTACAATTTAATATATCGCCAATTAGAGCGCCGATCGGTGTTACGCGACCAATTTCGGAAGGTGCTCCTCCCGTTGTGCTCCAGTTACAGTGTCAGCTCATTCGAGTTGGCCGGTTAGCACAATAAGGCACAATATTGTTTAGAGCGGCGGCATGAGTTGTGTACAGCTAATGCCCCAGACGATTGTTAACAGGTGAGGACGGAGTAAATTGTCTCGTTCTGCAACTAAATCGCTATAGATTTCACCTTTGGAATTGGAACTTGGTCTGTGTTTAAAGTTTAAACGCTCGCTGGTTTAGCAACGGTAGTGAAGCGTGTATGCGCAATTGTGAAAGTTACGTAGAAATTTTCACCTATAAAATTGAGACATTTGATAGCAATTGTATTGTTTTGTATCCAATGACTTTCTATTGCATTAGACTGTGGGACGCAATAACATTTTATTCAAATTCAAACCACGTTCCTAATTTAAAATAAAGAATAAGAAAATCTGATGCATCTCACTGCAAGTTTGAAATTTCAAATTTGGAATTCCCACGCAATATCCTTGTAAAGTAAAGTACTTCGGCGGGTGTTTTAACATTATCTATGGTAAAATATAAAGACGTTTAGAAACTGTGTGACTCAGTTATGTTGTACGCTGCCGAGTGAGGGTATGATAGCTGGAGTTTTAATAACGGGGCCGCCCGTGGAGTGTTTGTCCCAACTTTTCTAATAGGCGCTAGGTTTTAAAAGCGGGATCGATTAAATCTGTTCGAAACGCACCCGGTGAACTTGTCAAAGTGTATCAGCTGTTTTGTAATTTAATTTTAATACAATTTTTCGTGATTTATATTGGTAAAAGTTATTTCACAGTGTAGATTAGGCTATAAATATTATGTAGTATCGTTTTCCCAAAGATAGGATCCTAGATATTTGAATTATTGCACCATCAAAATCGTAACGAACGACCGCCTTGTCAAAACTATACTTGAGAAGAAAAAATTTCGAAGTTCAAGAATTATTCATAAGAAAAACTGAAGGATAAAGGATAAAAGTGTGAACTGCTGCATCATAAACCGGGGGAGTACATTTGTTCCTTATTTTAAATAAGCTAATAAGTAATATTGATGTTTAAATAACTTATGTGTATTGTCATTGTTTTGCTAAGTATCATTTCTTTCATAGCAATTAAGTTTCTCTATAGTTCACACTCAAATAAACGTATGACATTCCACAAACTACTTATCAAAACTCACATACTTAGTGAGTAACGTCACATTACAAAACGAAAAGCCACAGTATACCTCTCTTTGCTTGACAAAAGTGGAAGTAAAGTTTGATGGTGACTAATTTGCTCCAGTCATTCATTGTACTATTACTCTTCACAATCACTACCACTACAAACACAATTACCTACTTTTTTTTATATAAAAGAAACTTATTTGTTGTGTAGCCATTTATAATTTATAATAAATAAGCAACGGGGCCATATTAGTAGAATACATAATTAATAACTTTTAATTCTTGAATGAGCTTTCAATAAGTGAATTTGATTAAAGTATAATTTCATTTCAATTAACCCTTGTAACTTAGATAATATTTTTGAGTTTTGTTGGTGTTTAATGAGTGTATGGTTTTAATTTTATAGGTAAACAGACCACCAATAATAGTATCTACCCACCAGTAATAGTTCATTTAATTATAATTTGCTGTGAAAAAGTACTAAATCTAAAAAAATAGTGATAACATTGCCTAATAGCATATAAAACATTTTAGGTATTTATCACCATCATCATGCTGACCCGCAAAGCTGTTGCACAAAACACAGAGATGAAGTTGAGGCAGGTCCTGCTGGAGCTAAAGGAATCGAAGAATACATGTGATCAGCTTCTACGGGAACGTGAAGATAGCGAAATGGAAATCAAAGCTGTTGTTAGTCGAAACTCACAGCTGAAGATTGAATTAGCTGAACTGCATTCACAACATGTAGATGTCATTCAGGAAAGAGACCAACTGAAAAGCACACTTAGTACCTTCGACCAGCAATGCAACACATATGAGAGGGCCCTGGACCGCATCACCGAGCTGGAACGGGAACTCATAGATGCCAACCACCATATTAGTCAACTCGTTCAGCAGCAACAACAGCAAGAAACGGAACATACACTCAGTCTTTTTGAAGAACTGATGGAATCTTCAGAAATACAGTCAGCAAGACAGTCGCTATCCAGTAGCAATAGTATTAACATACCTAGACCTCTAAATTTAGGCAGTAGGAAATTAAAGAAATATATAAAAATTCATAAATTTATTAAGAAAACTGATAGATTAATTAAGAAAAATAATAGCTTCTACAAAAATATTGCCTTAAGGAAGGAACGCATGAATCTTTTGGATTCCATAGAAATTTATAGTAATAAGTTAATTGAAAGCAGGGAGTTGTATGACCGGGATACTAAAGAATTGCAATCTAAAATCATACAATTGCATGAATCAATGGGATCTTTAGAAAATAAATATTTCAATGCTCAGAGGCAGATTGATGAGCACATCAAATCTGCATCAGAGTTGGTGGAGTTATGTAACTATAATGCTGAGCGCTATGACTCATTAATAAATAACCAAATGTTAAATATAGTTAATTGCCCAGTGGACATCTCAAATGAAGACCTTAGAAAAGACAAAGAAATTGTAATC